AAAGTTCAGCGCGGTCAAGAGTGAGGAGGAAACTTATTAAACCAATTATCGATCAGTAGAGCGTATAAGAAACCCAGTACGCAAGCAGTGCTTTTCGCCTCGAATTTGAAGCTAACGAGGCGGACCTCAGAGCAAATTGCATTGCATTTAATTTTCGTTTCATTCGAGGCACTCTAGGTGCGCACAAAAGAAAGTGAAACCTGGCGGGGGCTGTTAGTAACGAATCAACCAGGGTCCCATACTCAACAAAAATAAAACAAGACAAACAGAAGAAAAAGCGAGAAACTGAAGATAAAAACAAGGTAAAAGTACGATTCATGCAAGCTCCGACCGTTCGCCCATCCTAGCGGCAAAAAGTAAATGCAAACCTAGGAAGCAGCTAGCACGTGCAGAAAAAAAGGGGTAGATGTTAGTTTTACGCCAATAAATGTAAACATATAGATCCTTGGAGCATTTCAGTCAAGAAAGTAAAAGAAATGAAGTTGCTCTTCGTTGTGAACGCCGTGAGCCCGAAGTCTTTTCTTGGTATCGCTTGTGTGCTGACCTCTGTTTTGAGGGCCGGGAAATGAAGGATTTTGTGAAAGGTCGCTGTTCGATTTCGCTGTGAAACCTCGTGTGGGACGTATAGTTGGTGATGTGTTCTTCTGGTGTGTGTGTGTAGGTGTGGTGTGTGTGTGTGTTTGTATGCTTGCGTGTTCACCCGAAAACTGGGGACTATGTGAAAAATCACTTTTGGGGAAAGGATCAAGGATGGGATGGTTGTGGCATGGGCCAACATTTACAGAACACATACGAGCTAACCTCGGCTCCGCCCACAATGGGCGGGGCGGCGTAAGCAGAAGTGAACGGTGCCAAGGATAAAAAATTTTCAAAACGCATCCTGAGCAACCCGAAGGATGGGTAATATGCTTGAACGGCGACAGCGGGAAAGCAGATGAAGTAAGGGAGAGACACCCCAGCAAAAGTAAAGGGCAAAAGTTCATAATTTCGTCTCAAGACAAATGAGAATAGTAGTGAACATGAGGTCGAAATCGAAAATTTGTAACTTATTTGTATTTATTTATTTGTTTATTTACTTATTTACCTACTTTATTCTACAACAACCCAAAACCCATAGCTTCACATTCGGTTCATCCACCAAGCACCCAATACCCACTCCACCCCTCTGCCTTTACGAAAATTTCACAACCGTCCACTAGGGGGGTATATACCAAATGTGAAACGGTAATGTTCTGGAATTGCAAAAAAAATTTTTTTCTGTAGCGATGGCGGGCGATCCAACTGGTGACCGAATAAATCACATGCGCAGCCGTTGCATGAAAAACTCCTCTTCATTCACAGTGGCAAGTGATATTTCATGGAAACTGATGCGCGAATACATTGCAGGATTACTGCGCTATCGCGCGTGACACCCGAAGCCTTTTATTGAGTAATTTACCTGTATTTGTACTTTGTCGATATTTGTGTGAGCAAGGCGGCTTACTCTCATGACGTGACAGCATATAATTGAATACAACATCACCAATATCACAACTACTGATACGTTGTGAATAGGCAGCAATACAGAAATGTAATTTTCGACTTCCTACGAAGATAAAATAGTGGTACTGATAAAGAAGTGCGATGAGCACAATACTATCCTAGGGAACACTCTTTTTCATTGTGTTCCATGATTCCTAATGTTTCTTTTGACATCAAGATTTTGAATAGTTTATCAGATGTAAGTGAAGAACTACCCATTGGATGTCATCGGAAATGAAAGGAGTTGCTGTGAATGCACCCACTGCACTGTTGTATATTGTTGGCCTGGTAATGAATGGTCGTACAATCATTAGTACAACACTCGTTATCATCCACATATAGATTAACTTGCCTAAAATTATCAACGTAAAATAGGCTTCACGGGGTGTTCACGCTAATGCGCTGGTTCCTTATCCTACAAAAACACTAGCTTATCTGACATTTCAGCTGATGGAAGACGGATGCCAATTCGGTGCACGACTATTTCATTGAAGTCCCTCATCAGTTTATATATAAGTAATATTAATCAAAGAAGAAGCCTTCTGTGCATTTTTTTCCAGAAACAAGTCAACTGAGCGTATGTGAGTCAAACAAACACCAAGACATTCTTTTGCTGTGTTCGATCCCTTTCATGAGTACGATGTTCCGCAATTTTCAATTGAGTGAGTTTGTATTCAGAGTGGAGAAGGGACGCGCTAGAGGGAGAGTTTATACTTGGTTATACCACACAGAATGAATTACGTGGAGGAGGAAAGATTGTCGTAAATGCGACTGCGGCCTTTCAGCGCACCGTGCGCCTCGGTTCCATCTGTGG